CAAAATGCTTCACCAGGGTCAACAGTGGAACTTGTACAAGTAATACTGGTATTTATTTCAAATTGCTTTCGATTTTAGCAAAAACTGCCTATATTCACACTTGAATTTGCAAGACTAAGCAAGACTAACAAGAATGGTCAAAATTTCAGTTTGTAAACATAATCATCCATTCATCTAGGAGACGACTAAATTATCCAGGTTTTGAAGCTTATTTAAAAATAGAGGCATATACATATCAAGGTGATATATTCCAAAATAATGGAACCTTCCCTCCCTCAAAAATGTGTTCACAGAAACTCAGGACAGTTTCCCAATATGCTCCATTAATTTATGGGGGGAAAACACACCCGAATGGAGTAATAAAAAAAAACACAGAAAGAGCAGAAAATTTTCCTGACAATTTTCCGACACAAATGGTCCTCTTAAACTTACCAACCTCCTCAGATTCAAGAATCTCAGTCCGGCTAAGAACAATAAAACCAATGAAAGAAACCTCTGTACACTCAGAGAAGAGAGCCTATATTTCTTCTGTTGCTAAACACATCCCAAACATCCCCAGGTTCTTACTTTCTCCTCATCCGATACCCGATCTTCGAAGTCCGCCATTTTGGCTTCTATCAGTCTAGCGCCCCACTTGTCACCACGCGCACGGCACGTCGGGAGGGGGGAACTTGAGGGCGGAGCGAGAAATTCGCCGGCCGGATGTCAGCGGAGCGGATGTGGCCCGCTTGGTTAGGATTACTGCCTTGTTAGGAAGAGGAGGATTCGCGGTGTCAACTGGGGCTTGTGGGCGCTGCTTGCCATGCTGGGCGCCTAAAAAGTCCGTTTAAAATAACAATTTATGAAACAATTTTTGATGCTATCCTACACCTTCTCTCATTAAGGGCGCCTCCCCGGCCCAATCCCATTTTTTTTGCTCAGCCAATAGCTGCATCCGAACCACTTTTGTCCAAATTGCAAGGCAGCGTTTCATGAGAATTGTTTTTCTTTCTTTTCTTTTTTCAATTTCTCTCCAAATGCCTGTTTACGCGCAAACAATAAACCTGGTGCTCAACCAAATCAATTAGTCCTGATTTCTTAACGGGCCTAATCAGAAAATCAGTATATGCCAATATATTGGCATATCCCGGGCAAGATGTAGCTGGGTTCAAAAGGGTTTCCCCTTAACAGCGCGAGCAGGGTGCTAGTCCCGATGAAGCAAATAGGACAGCTGCCCGTCTGAAAGCGAATCCGAACGGAGAATAGAACAGGGAACCGGCGGAGGCGCCTACCGGTTCCCCACCTGCCTGCTGCTCGTGCCGGTTTCCATCAAACGGGGCGAAGCGGCTTGGGCGGCGCGCCTGGTTGATCCCGCCCTCCTGCCTGCTTCAGCCAGCCAGGCCCGAGGGCGGGAGTGATGGCGGAGAGTAGTCCTGTGAATGAGGATGCTGCGCCGTCTCTCTCCCAGTCGCCTGGCCTTGGGCCCGGCCCTCGGCGGTGGGAGCGGCTGAGGCTGGCTGCAGGGCCCTGGGCGCGGTCATTTGGCTTCCTGGCGGTGCTGGGTCTCCTTTATTTGTTGCGGGGCCCGCTCCGGTTGCGGGACAACTTAGTGGCAGGTAAGGGAAGGGTCGCGCCGGGATTGTAAAGCAGCTCTGTGAGGGCAAAGGAAATAAGGTGGCGGGGACGGGTGAGCCTACGGCGGTCTCTTTAAGGTCGGGATCGAGGAACCAGTTTTGAGGGAGAGCCGAGCCTGCCAAGTCGCTGCCCTGCAGTTTTGTATTGGTAATCTTGGAGTGCTGGAAGAACTTTGCACATGATCAGAGATATTATCTCTAAGATACTCGGAGATTACTCATGAATGAGACACTCATCCATGCTGGATTTGAATCCTGGTGATCACAGTTGATGCTGGGGCGCTTATTTATCCCAAGCAGAGTTTGGGAAGTGTTGTATTTTGAGGGAAGTAGTCTACAGAAAAATTAGAATAAATAACAAAGGATTTCCCCCCCTCAGATTCTCACTTTCAGCTTTTGCATATTTTTTTCCTCTAGTGTGCATTTTTAAATGCTTCCACTCTCCAGAGGCCTGGTTACTTCTAGCAGTCAACTGCCTCTTGAATTCCCCACTTTTCATCAACAGTATTGTATTTAACTTAAAATTAAAAATAATTTAAAAATATTTTGGCCTGTGCTTTCCTTTAAAAAAAATTGTTCATTTTGGTAATCCCTGGAGAGTGAAAAGTTAACTAAAAGAACTGTCAAATGCCTAGTGTCATCAAAAACCTGATCTTAACTTTACGCACTTTAATTAGAAAATGGCAAATTGGTAAGCATTTCTCATCCAAAGCACATTTTCTTTTTTAAAGAATTGTCAACTTATTTTAACTAGAGATTAACAATTCTAATTTGTATGTTACTTGATAACTACTATTTTTTTTTCAAAAAATATTACTATTGAGTGTAGTGCATTTTACTATCAAGTTATGCATAAGATTACAAATTTAACAGCAGGTATCTATAATAAAATGGTAATATGTTTCTAGCTGATAACCTTAAATGTTCTGTGTGTTTGATCAAAGATACTTGAAAAGGACACTTACTTCTCTGCCCCAGGGAAGCAAAATGCAATGTTTTTTATTCCTTTGGATGCCATATAGTGGTTAATGTCCTATCTCTAATTTACTGGCTGAATGTGATGTTTGCTCTATGTATACATTGTCACTTCAAATGCAGTGAAAGAACCTTTTGCTGTAGATGAAGCTAACTACTAATTATATGACATTAGCATGATCTGTCAAATGTTAATCAACTATTGTAACTGGATCTGATATTTGTAAAAAAAAAATCTTTTAGAGCATGAATAGTCTAAACCCCTAAACACTATGATTGAATTTGCATTATATGCTAAGTAGGGTTTTAGGAACATGTGCATTGTTTTTTACCCCCATACAGTGCTTCTTAGTTGGGTTTGGAAGTTTACTGGAATCCAAACATGGAAGATCTATTATTTTAAATACATAGAATTGAAACCTATAATAGCCTTTGACATCATAAACTAAGTAGGTATGTTTGAGGAATTATCTGTATAGCTTAGATTATACAGCTGAATTCTAACCAGATTTATTCATAAGTAAGTTCTACAATACATGGCAGCCAGTTTGATATACTGATTAAAGATAGCAAGCTAGAAACTGGGAATATGGGTTTCAGTCCTGCATGGGGCTGGGTAACTTTGGATCAGCCACTGTCTCAGCCCTGGGAAGAAGGCAATGGCAAACCACTTCTGTAAAGTTGCCAGGAAAACTGCTACATGCAAACAGATGGCAGGAATCAGTCAAAGAGACAAGCAAACAAGAGAAACACAATTCTCCCTACATAATGTAATGAGTTTATTTTTGATTAGTTCACCACTGACTTGAACTGAATGGCTTCATATACTTTGTTTCTACATATTTCAAATTTATTTTGTAAAAAGAACATACTTAGAACATATGTAGTAAGTCGTGGATCATTTAACCATTGTTTATTGAATTACTGTTGGCTAGATTTGCACAATATCCTTCTGTAAGAGCCTGAAGACTTGGCTGTGCCTGTTAGGCTGGGAACCCAATGGGGAAGTACCACACTGGAAGTGGCTAATAGCAAACCCAACCTCCCTCCTCACTCCCGGCTTCCTTACCTGCTCAACTTTTATTTCCATATCACTGTATCACTGTTTTCTTTTTCATTGCTTATTCTATTGTTCCATTACTTTATTACGGTTATATTTGCACTTCTTTTCATTTATAACTCTCAAGGTAGAGTTCTTGGATTTAGTTTTACCTAGATAAGGTCTAGGTAATGTTTATTCACTAAAACATTACAGGTATTTTCAGCTATTTATTTTAAATTATTGAATTTCTCAAAATAGAGCAACTTACTATTAATTCTTAACACTGGCTGGGAGAATACAATGTGTTGTGATTAGTATGAATTCAGACAGTTTGGTTGTTTTAGCCATGGTTTATATTGTAATATGTGTGAACAAGACCACTTGCCTTAATTAATATATTCATCATTTTCTTAGCCTGAAGATTGTGTAATCCAACTGTGTTAACCAATAAGACTTATCTTTTCATTGGCAGTAACTGTTTTCTTGAGCACGCTGACTCCAAAATTCTATGTTGCACTTACGGGGACTTCATCTTTGATATCAGGTCTGATATTTGTAAGTATTTTTCTGTATTTCTGTGTTCCTTAACTAATCAAGAAATATAGTAGAAGTGAGCTAAATTGTTGCTTAAGTTCATAGTTCTTGAAAGTACTGGCAACAAATTGAGTATTAGAGGAATGCTTCACATATTCATATAAAACTGATTTTATTTACCTCATCATTTTTCCTGTGAAATTAGTTTCAGTTGATATGAATCTGCCTTAAGTTAATCTGGTCTGGATCCCATCAGTTTCAATTGTCTAAAACTAGCAGCAACCCTGTGTTCATTGAATTGCAAATAAAAGCTTTGTTCCTGGCCTGTTTTGAGGATTAAACTATGTTTGCCCCTGCTATTGTTACATTTCTGCTCTAAGCAGAGAAAGTAATTTTAAAAACATGTTATATTTATGTATATAGCAATCAGGAATGAATTAGGTATATTTTTAAACTTTTACAATATGCGGAAGATGGTGAACGTGTCTAATATAATTTTATGTATCATTTCATCAAAGCTGTAGGTTTTTAAAATTAGATTTTATGCAAACTATGCTAGCGCTAAATTGAAAACACAGTGCATCTGGTATACTAGCTGAACTCCAGATGGTGCTATTTGATAGAATAAGAAATATAGTTTTGCAAGGAAAAACCATTTATAAAGTCATAAGAAACTCATCTGTGTTAAATTCTGAAAGTTAAATGGTTTGTGATTTACTCAGAACAATTATTTATTTGTTTAGATTACGTATATTTCATATGCTGAGGCTCATTTTGTGAAATGGAAAATGAGTTCTGAGATTCCTATGTAGATATTTGAGATATTGTATTCTGTTTTTATATCTGGTTAGCTGTGAAGAAATTGTCAGTTTTTTTCTGTTGAAGGGTAAATGAAAAAGGATAAAAATATTATGTTAATAAAAATGCCAAATCCATTATAAATCTATCTCCCCCCCATCTCTCCATGTGACCAGTCATAATAATTGCATTCCACATATTTTTCTGTTTCTTGTTCCAGATATTTGAATGGTGGTACTTCAGAAAATATGGTATGTCTTTTATTGAACAGGTTTCTGTGAGTCATTTGCGACCACTCATTGGAGGGGCAGACAATGCTAGTTCTGCACAGGCAAATTTTTCTGCTGCCAGTGGAGACAATGAAATGAACAGACAAAATCTCTCAGGTGATTGTTTCTAATATTTGGCTTCCTATAAATGTACTTAGTAACTAGCTTTTATATTTTATTTATTAGATTTTTATAAGGGACATACATACATACATACATACATACATACATACATACGCATGAAAAAGAAATGAAAAAAAAGATACTGGTTAAGTTTTTTATTAGACAGTATTTGGAATCCTAAAAAAATCTATTAATTGCCAAACTGATTTATGATTCAAGAACATCTGTCACTTTTTGTTTTTGCACGTATTCTGCACTAAAAACCTTTTTTTTTTCCTTAAAAGAATGGATAATGATTCAAAGTACAATTTGAAAAATCAAAAATAGGACAGACCTGCTCCTTTCTTCATTTTTGCCAATCTTCTGTCTAGCATTTGTTCTAAATCTGCATGATATGTAGTTTAACTGTAAACTGTTATTCATACTTAATTTTAGATCTGCGTGAGAAGCTCATCTCAATTTTAGGCTTACACTAATTTGAAAGATAAAAGCCACTTTGGGGGTAGCGATTAAAGGAGCCAGGCTAGAAACTGGGAAACTAAATTCTAGAGTTGACTGGATGACTGTGTCAATCACTCTCAACCTTAGGAAGAAGGCAATGGCAAACCACTTCAAAAATATTGCCAAGAAAAACTAGATGGACTTATCCAGGCAGTGGCCAGGTCTCAAACTGACTGAAAGGCACCCCAGTTTGAAAGAAAAATTCTGCTCTTATTTTTTTATACTTGGACCTACTTTAGATTTAGTGATCTCCCACTTTCAGATTTCAGAAAGATAGCTTTATTAAGTAAGGTTAATTTTAAAACTAAATTATCTTTTTCTAAAACAGAGTGCAAAGTATGGAGAAATCCACTCAATCTCTTCAGAGGAGCAGAATATAACAGGTACCCAATGATTGTATTTCTTTTATACTTTATTTGTTTAAAACAATAAAAACAAAGCCACCAGTTCAAAATTATATCTAATCCTAAACTACCCAAAGATATGGCAGATTAACATTTGCACAGGTAATCATATACATATAATACTTTCTTCATTTTTTGTGGAAATTATTGTTTGAATGGATACCATGAATTTATCATTTACAGAATATTATTAAAAATAATTGTTATCATGAATTTCAGTGTACTTCTATTCTGAAATCCCAGCCAGTTTGGAAATTTATGATAAAGACTTATTCTAAGTCTCTATTCTTTCTTAGGCTACTATTTATTCAGTATAGGTCATGATGCACAGATAAAAAAAGAACAAGCTATTCAGTTAATATTCAGTTAATTCAGTTTATACTTTTAACATTTCTGTTTCTTGTGTTAGTATTGTTTAAGGCCAAAGTATAATATACACTTGAGAGCTCAATTAGTATTAGGATTAATGGCAATGGTAGAAAACGGGAGACTGAGATAAAGCCAGTGGGGTGTTATTGGGCCATTCACATTCTTAGCTCTAAGAAGAAGACAACCTTGCAAATAAATAAATTAAATAAATAATAAAATGAAAATTTTGCTAAGAAAAGTACATGGATTATTTCATGCACTTGTTTAGGCTCAGGATTGACTAGAAGGCATTAAAGAAAATTTAAAAAGTACTTTCATTTAGAAAGAAACTAATTCTGATACATAGAATTATGGAATTAATGATACTTTTTTTCTCTCCTTAAGATATACATGGGTGACAGGAAAGGAGCCACTAACATATTATGATATGAACTTATCTGCTCAGGATCATCAGAGTTTTTTTACCTGTGAAACAGACTCTCTTAGGCCTTCAGATGCAGGTATAATTACTTTATTTTTCTTTGTGAAATAAGAAAAAAGGTGAATAACGATACCACTTGTAGCTCTTATATTGATTGTGAGGTTAGCATCCATGGTTCACTGGCATATGTTAGAACAGGTAGTACACACTGATCAAAAACTTTTCTCTTCAGGCATAGGGAGAGGTTCTTGAAAATTAGCTTACTAAATGCCTGCCAACCACATTTAACACACCATTCAATTTCCTTTATTGTATTACTTTCCATTGAGATTCATTGGTCAAGATATATGCAGTAGTCTACCACATCTAGTTCTTCTCAGATATAAAAAAATTCTTTCTTTGGTAAATTTATTAAACATAACCTGGCTCTTTTTAATGTTTGTGTTTAAGCCAAAAAAGCTTTCATATGTATTCAACATTTTTCTATACAACAGGTTTTTTTTTCTCTGAGGCATCTCAAGTATAGTTTTGCTAGCATCTTGTGACCACGAGCTTTCATCATTTCAATGTAACAGTAATTTTCTGAATCTTTACCATTTTTCATTACTTTTATGGCAATAAAATCAATGAAAAATGATTTTAAAGTCAAACTGGACTAATTTCTTTTTAGAGCTATCTGTCTTGTCAGAAAAATTAAATTAAGTTACTTTTCGGTCTATATGATAGAATACTCTTGTGAAGTTTGTAAATTTGAAATAGTAAAGGATGAAAAATTGTATTATTTATGAATGTCTTTAAAAAATGAGCCCGAGATTTTACAACTTCTGCTCATACTATTTCTCTGTGGGAGTTATATATTACCTAAATATACTTTTTTTAAAAAAAAAGAGAGAAGAAAAACAAAGGCACTCAGTGTTGTACAACTAATATTTGGCAAATAATGCATTAATGCTTTCCAATTCATCCATCAACCATAGCTTACTGTCTATAAGTTACTCTAGTGATAATGTTCATTGCTAGAAGAATAGTGTTTTTGTTATATTAATGTAGTCTATTATCTCATTAACTAAGCCAAAGTTAACTTTTTGCTTCCAAAAAGTTGTTTCAGCATTTTTCACATTATTCTTTCATTTTCGTTTCCAAAGGAAACATACATAGATTCTTGAATTTTCTTGCTAAAACTAAAGACGATTAGATATTCAGACTGCAATCTTGCATATATTTGTTTTGGAGTTAGCCACAAAAATCTTAGTAGCATTGATTTTGCTATGATTTTTTTTTTCCAACAAATTTTATTAGTTTTACAAAAACAATACACAAACAATCAAGGCATAATAACATAAAAAATCCTTTCTAAGAAAACCAATAGAACGTACAAAATAGTTCCAAATTGTAGTATAGATATTTACGTTATCTATTCAACTTCGTATCTTATCCCAGCTTCTCCTTTTCATTCTATTATCCAAATTATATTTCTTGCTAATTAAAGTTTTATTGCCTTTCATAAACAATACACAAACATACAAAACATAAAACATAAAAAAAACATAAATAAAACATCTTTTCTGAAGGCTGTTTGATCCCGGGCTAAAAACTCTTCGCACAGACACAAGTTCAAAAATCATATTCACTTTGTATATCATTCCATATCTTATTACCATTTTCAATTTTCTATATAGCTTCTTCCCTCTTTTATCTTTCTTAATTTTGTTTTATTTATCTTATCTCAATTCAGTTCATAATACTTATCATTCTTTGTCTGTTCTATTTCCATCTATCCATTCATCTCTTCTCTTTTAATATACTTCTCCTGTACACTGATTGGAGTGACGCCTTTGACTCATTCCCCTAACTTAAAATTACTTAATATAACACTTAATTTATATTGGGATTCTGTTTAGTACATTCTAAAGTTACACAATAAATTTTATGAAAAGGGTAAAAACATAACAATAACTAAATAAAATCATATATAACCACTATCCATATAATTAAAAAGCTAATCATACCGTGTTTCTCACATAATAAGACCGGGCCTTATTTTTTTTTGACCCCCGAAAAACCGGCTAGGCCGTCTTTTCAGGGGTGACTTAATTCCCCCCCCCCCCCGTTGCATCCTTGGGTGGGCGGGCGGCGACAGCTTGGATGTTCGGGAGACCTTCCGCCACCGTTGCTTTTCCTTCTCCCTTGCTGCCGTGGCGTTACAGTAACGCTGCGGCGTTTGGCGCAGCCACGTGCAGCCAATCAGGGCTCCTCCCTGCAACGGGAGCCCTGAGGAGACACTTGGCTTCAGGCGCTCCTGTGGCTGCCTTCCCTTTGCCTTCGAAGGTAAAGCGAATTATTTTAAAAACCTCCGCTCATCCCATCAAGGCCACGCCAGAGCCGTGCAAGCTGGGCAGAGCCGGGAAAGCGAGCCGCGGGTGTTTCCTGGTTCTG